ACTCTTTGTGTTACTGAGCAATGTTGAAATTAATACTTCATTGGAGTATAGGAAGCCACTGAATATCAAATTCGTATTTAGCCCGAGTTTCCTCTGGCCCTTACACCAGACTTAGACATTTTGACATATAGATTTCTGGTGTGGTCATGGGGTGGCTAATCAACAAACCGTAATGATCCGGACCGAAAAGGGGAATATATTATTCTTGTTTAGAAGATTTCCGGACCGCGTCTTTTTGTTGATTAGTCACTCCCCGATATCAAACGGTGTCGGAGAATTCCACGTTTTAATATAGCATTGCGCTCTGGCCCCACACCAGACATCTTTATGTCAAAATGTCGAAGTCTGGTGTTAGGGCCAGGGGAAACTCGGGCTTATTCGTATTTAGTCATATCTTAATATAAAAAAAAGAATCCCCTAAATTTTTATAGAATAAGATATCACTGATAAAGGATGCCTTTATTTACTAAACTAGGCCCAGAATCGCCACATCCCTTAACTTCAGATTTCCCACAAAAGGAGTATTACCAGAGTTTAACAGAATTTACTCAACTTTAAATTTCTCCTAAACTTTAACACTCCTTTCTTATGGAAAAAGGTACCAAATGTCCTTATCTTAAAGATATGTTCAAAATTGTAGCCAGGATATAAAACAGATCAAGATATTTGTCCATTACCATCCAGCGGCTCGGTTTGAGCCAATTTGCCTTGTACAGAATTAGCTTTAAAATATATATATTGCCAAACTATGACAATGCATGTAATAAAAACTAGCTTAATGTAGGCATCATACCAAAGTAGAGCATAAGTAGCGTGGTATTACACCCTGTTATTTCTAATGTAACAATTAAGCTCACACTTCTGTTTTTCGCTCACCTGGCCCAAAGAACCATTTGGTCTAGAGTCATGATACTTGGGTATGTTCAGTAGACCAGCTGTGTGAATCGTAATGAGGTCAAAGGTCAAGAGATGTTAACATGTCTTGCGTTCTAGTTACCAAAATTGGTCTGAAGTTACCTTTATGTCAGTTTTATGTAACAAAAGAAACAGGTGAGCGATACATACAGGCCCTCTGGGCCTCTTGTTCTAAAATTATCTTGCCATATTTGTCGTAACTAGCGTGCTCTGCATATAAGAGCCCCTCTCCCTTTTTCAGGAGGAATTTAAATTTTAGTATAGCCCCCCTCTCCCAGTATATCCTTTGGTGATAACTGGTTAAAGTTGCACAACTATTTCTATCATAACTCACATTTTTTACGCGCCCATGGCCAGGGCACTGATTTTAGCAAATACGGTATTGACAATAACTGGAGGATTTCCAATGTAGTTAAGGCTTCAGTTATTTTTAAAAGAATCTGGGTCAGATCTGAGGGACTCAATAAATCACAACACCAAATAAAAGTCTTTAACATGTAAACAAATTTTACTACGGCTATATGGATGGTTCAACTGTCAAGTAGAAATAATACCACAGCTAATCTGTTTGTTATGTTAATATATAAAAATATAATTGTTTGTCTGTAATGATGTATTTATGTAATTTTTAAGTTGCATGTGTTTGGTTCAGAACATTCACAATATATATATATGAATTATGATTCTGTACATGCTTTTGCCAAGAAAAAGATATTATCTGGCACTTGAATCATACATTGTATACATATTGGGTAGTTGTCGTTTTGTAGAATACTGCACACAAGTTCTCATAACATTAACCATAAATCTCTCATTAGCTGTAAACCTTTAATAATTTCTAGTAATTCTGTGTTTGATTACTAGAAAATTGACTTTATTTCAGAAAAGGGAAAGTTTTAAACTATGGCATTAAATCACTTTGAGTGTAATCAATATAGTATATATGGTTTTACTGTTAAAGTTGTCCTCAATTAAACAAGTCAAAATCACCCATCGTAACAAGATTTAAGAATTTTCAGATTTCGGAACTCTTTCTGATTAGAGATACATATGTTATGATGAAGTATAACATTCGTCCTTAAACTCGAACTGGTAGTCGTCTGCTGGAAAACCGAACTACTCGGTAGTGAAGCGGACGTAAAACCTATCAATCAATCAATCAATTAATCATGGAACTGGTAGTTTATATTTGCCAGACCAAAAGTTTGAGCACCAATTGACATAAAATTCAGCCTGTGTGTTTGTTCTGACCAGAACGGGTGTATCTGACTGAGCCTTGTACATATGTAGTACACACCCTTGTAGGAATGTTGGTCCGTGTAAGTTTACTAGTCATGTGTATTTTGTGCCTAATTGTTTAAGTCCTTTGTGTGCCATTATATATTTACTGCTGGATCTTTCATTCAATATTGTTTGCTGTAAAATTACCTCTGTTTTGTGAGAGCTCCATGTTGGTGAAGAATTCATTCACAAATTTATATAAGATAACTTTAATTTACCAGTCCACCCCACTGTCACTAGATTTTACTGATGATTGTTGTTTNGGGGGGCTTCTTAATGTAGGGTCTAATTGGATTACAAGCCCAGAACCAATTTTCTGCCTATTCAATAAAAAAATGTTGAGCTCTTGGCCGGATACCAGTAAAACATGGTCGACACGTCTTATAGCTTCATGATTTACAACCATACAGGTTTACTGTGCATGGAGACACAAAACATTGGTGATTTATAGAATTGTTTTGATTTTGTTTGGAATTTTAATTCAGTTTTGCAATATGTTTTATGATTGTTTTCACAATGAGTTTTTTTTCTAAATCAAGCCTTCCCACTTTTTACTACATTTGTATATGTTTAATGTAGACTGGTATTGGACTACTGATGTGTTATTTAAAATGAAAATGTGCAATGAATGTATAATCATGATATAATTTGTAATTACAGTCGTTGAAAGAGGTGAATTCAGTATACTGCCAATAGATAATAAATTTTCATGTAGATCATGAATATTCAAGTATAATTATAAATGTCCATGTTCATTATGAATATTCATGTAATATTTGCCAAATTATTATGTGTATTGATGTTGAAAGAAGCCAATTCCCTGCTTTTGTTGCTGTGGAAAAGGACACCATGTCTTGATGCTGATGTTGTAAGTCAATATTGAAACAGTATAAACTGGAGATCACACTTATTGTTGACGATATCTTTAAATGAGAATAAAACACCAAAATAAACCAATGTGTTTCAAGTTTTGTTATTTTATGGTTATGTAAAGCAGGTGGGGAACATGACACAGTAGAGCCAGCTGATCAAAAGCACAGGGACCTGAGAATTTGTTACAGCTATATTTGGACCTAAACTAATGTGTTCAGAGTAATTTTACATGTTTTAGGGGTTTAGATCGACTTTCTGTAAAAATGACACACCAATGATCATATGTAGTAGATTAAAACCACACTGCCAGCAGTGCGCCACTTTTCTCGAATAAGACATTCGTTCAAATGTTCCCGTCTACCCAATCTCTTGTAAAAGACTAGCGTAATATAGCAGTGTACTGGCGTATACATAATAGTGTACCGGCGTAATATAGTAGTGTACTGGAACCACAGTTAAGTCGTCTACACAAACTGTTGAGTACCCAGACATTTCTCTATATTTCCCATCATTCTGAGCAACAAATCATCAATAAAGCAATATTTAGATGTTAAAATGTTTTACATTCATGATGTAACCATGGTTGATTAAGTGTTATTTAATACTGAGCAAAACAACAACAGGCTTTCATTCAAGTCAAAATTTGTTTTATTTTATAACAAATATAATGTTTTTACCGTTCATTATCATACTTATAATTCATTACATTTGCATAACGTAAGATAATGATAGAATGACATTGCCTTAAATTATTACTATGACATCTAAACTCACTTATAACATATGACTATACAAATTATATCGATACCATAACCTATGACCTCACAAATCATGTCGATACCACAACCAACGACGATTATAACCTATGACATCACAAATCATGTCGATACCATAACCAACGACAATTACAACCTATGACATCACAAATCATGTCGATACCATAACCAAAGACAATTATAACATATGACATCACGAATCATGTCGACATCATAACCTATGACGTCACAATCATAGCATCAACAACATAAACTATGACATTTGTAACTGATGACATTACAATCATGACCAATATGACAAAGCTGAGATTCTGATTATGTTCAGTTGTTTTACTAATTCTCCTAGTAAAAAATATTTTTTTAATATTACTCAACTCAACCAGCACATAAATGTATCTAGAATGTCTGAAATTTTTTGAAACCCGGTAGTGACCATAATTAAGTGATATTATAAATGGACATCAAAACAAGTGATAATAATAAAAGAATTGAATTATATAGATAATATAGCAGGAAAAACGGTGCATCAAGAAAACATGATAATAACCGGAAAGTGACATTAAGCGACGTGATATTAAGTGAAATGTACTGTACTATATGCATGGAGAAATGTATTTCATAGAAACTATTTGAGAGAATTAAATTATTTTTAATGCTGACATGTTATAATACTGGAGATCAGTAATAAGGACACATTGTAGACAATTACATTGAATACTAGGACAAGTCGAATGTCTAAACAGTAGAAGTAGGACTTGAAATATAATTGGAATGCTTTATTATGGCACCTTTAATAACATTTTAGCTTAAGCATAAACAAATCTGAAATCTTCTTCACATCGAGAACCATCCTCAATAGCAAGGGGTTACGCTCACCCGGGGACGTATATACTTCACACTTTACATGTCTCTGCGCTCACTTTCGCTCTCTGCACCCCTGGAATATGTCATTGCTAAATTGGAGGCTCGGTGTGCGCCGCCTTGTTGATGAGACGAGAAGGCTAGTTTGATCCTTTGATGTACATCAAAAGAATCTTGCGGTCGCGTAACAGTAAAAATTGACTGACTTTGAAGTCGGGTGTCGCCCCTTTGTAATCTTCAAAGGACAGGTATCAGCCTGGCGATTGGTCAGGTTTTGTTACCTGAGACCAATCAAACAGCTGTCTTCGTGCCTTCAATTTTGCTATGACATATTCCAGGGGTGTAGAGAGTGTAAGTGACCGTAACCGCTGGATATCGAGGACGATTGAGAACAAAAAGTGTTCAACATATGTATTGGAATAAATCTTATAAAATATTAACGGAACACATCAGTAAACTTGCACTATTGAACAAAATATAAACTTATATAACATTTTAACATTATCTCTGGCAGTATGTTAACACACACTACTGGACATTTCTGGTCTATTTTTATCACGTCCAGGACTGACCAAATTTCTGTAAGATTTCAATCATGTCTTCATCCTCTGACAATTTAGCTTCATCTAAGATTGTGTGTCCGTCTGCATTTGTGATGTTCTTATCTGCCCCTGATTTCAGGAGGAGCCTCATGATGTCAGCACTGCTGTTGCTATGGGCGTGCCACAGAGCTGTCCAGCCATCACTGTCCTGAGCATTAAGGTCACAGTTAAACTGGAAAATAAACCAAAAATATGTCAGGGCAATGTAACTATGATAGGGTACACTGGGAACACCACTATCTAACCAGGGTTAGACACTTGGTAGTCCACAGGACTAGTTGAATAGATTATTTACTAGGCTAGCCCTTCATCAATGTAACTAGTCCAAAATTTCCTGATAAGGAAACATCACGATCTATAGCATGAAACATCAAAAGCAATTGACTGTATGAGTCTTAATAACTACATAAAAATAAGGTTAAGTTTTAGGAAAATTTTGACAATTATCATGCAATATATCTTATTTTAAGCTGTTTTTTAAATTTTAAAAAGAAATATTCTGATTTGATAATCATATTTTTCACAAGTCCAAAGGACCAGTTAGGTTAGGTGATTCACTAGTCCTTGCTGAAATCTACTATTCCAGGACTAGGGGAGTAGTGTTAGTATCGACCCCTGCAGTAACCACTGTGTCAGTGGAAACCTGTCTACTCTGTATGGAAATAACCATCCTGGTGTTTTTCAGTTTACATGTTTGAAGAACCTGTCTACAATAACCAGTCCTATTAGTCCAGAACATGATTTAGACAGGTTTTGTCTCTGTATAGTGTAACTTCTCTATAAACATCACTTGGTTTCCATCATCCCGTGGGAATTTAAAAGGCAATTATAAATATCCAGTAAAAAAAGAAAGGTTGAGATAAATTTCACTTCAGTAGCAGTTGTATTAAATTGGTCTCAAATTATTCATTAAGGAATTTTCCCCTGGTATGAGTCTGTCCTGTTCTCTCATCCTAGGGTTCAGATCAGGGGATTCCCTAGACATTACAATTGTAGGTGTCATTACATCTACAAAACATTGTGACGATTTATGAATCTCGGCCCTGGATTGAGTTCCCCCTATTGCGCCCCAAAGGGTAAGAAATATTCAATCATTCCAGATGAAAAAAGGAAAATACATCATGATTTTAAAGGAAAGTAACAGGTTATGTGAGTTGTGATGGTGGGGTGTGTTGTGAGGAGAGGGGAAGCCCTTGGATTTGCAACTAAAATACAAGGCTTCTCTGACCTACCTTCAACAGGACCCTGATGACGTCTGTGTGGTCGTGTGAAGCAGCGACAATAAGTGGTGTCTGTAAGCCTGCCTCCTTACACATAGTATTACAGTCAGCTCCCGCGTCCAGGAGGATCTGAGCTAGACGTGCATGACCCTCCCTAGCTGCCATGAACAGCGACACTTCTCCACTGTGACATCTAGAGTCCACTGTAGCCTTACCTAGGCCAATCACAAGGTATTTATAAATTGTAACATTGTACCAAATGATAGCCTACAGCACTGTAGCCTTACCTAGGCCAATCAATCACATGGTATTTATAAAGTGTAACATCATACCAAACAGGAGTCTACTGTAGCCTTACCTAGGCCAATCAATCACATGGTATTTGTAAAGTGTAACATCATACAAAACAGGAGTCTACTGTAGTCTTACCTAGGCCAATCATTCACATGGTATTTAAAAAGTGTAACATCATACAAAACAGGAGTCTACTGTAGCCTTACCTAGGCCAAACAATCACATGGTATTTACAACAAGTGTAACATCATGCCAAACAGGAGTCTACTGTAGCCTTACCTAGGCCAATCAATCACATGATATTTATTAAGTGTAACATCATACCAAACAGGAGTCTACTGTAGCCTTACCTAGGCCAAACAATCACATGGTATTTACAACAAGTGTAACATCATACCAAACAGGAGTCTACTGTAGCCTTACCTAGGCCAAACAATCACATGGTATTTATAAAGTGTAACGTCATACAAAACAGATTTCTAGTAGAAGCACCTACTTCAAGGCTTATTAATGAAAATCAAACATAATTAAAACACATATAATGTCTACCTGGAATTGTTATTTTTACTTTGAACGAGTGACTGCCTTAATAAAGTGTACTTTTACACTGTCTACCTGTAATCAATAACGATGCACTACCAGTACCCGTCAACAAGACTGTTACAGTACCTACATGAAATCAATACCTGTACCCGACAAACTTTTCAGAGCCTACCTGTAATTAATACGGAGGCCAGTTTGGGATCATCCCACACAGCTGCCCGACACAGAGCAGTATGACCACTGGTCATCAGTTGGTCAGGAGCTGCCCCTTTGTCCAGTAACACTGCCACAACCTGTCAACACATGAAATGATTAAATCACTATCAGTTTTGAGCACTGTGACACCACTGCTTCGTACATAACATTTGACCTGTTGACCTCTGTGTCATTTTATTTGTTTGCACCTGTACTTGTTACTTAATACAGGACAACTTGCTTTGTGACCTGTGTCATTTTATTTTTTTATTTTTTTTTGTACCTGGACTTGTTACTTTTAAAATACAGGACATCTAACTTTGTGGCCTCTGTAATATTTGTTTACCTGTAATTGTGATCACAAATTAGAACATGACATTGGACAATAACATTTTTCTGTACCTGTAATCTTGACCTAATTACTACACGATCGACACTGACTGGATGGGTGATCATGGTGATATTGGTCTGTACCTGTAATTGTGACTTATTACATGATACTGGACTTGCATGACCTTTCTGTCATTTGTATGAACTTGTAATTGTAATCTTAATTCAGGCCTATGAGAGGCTATAGCAGTAACAATGTGTCATCAACTGATCAATCAAAAGATGGTGGTATTGACAATCAAAAACAGATAATTAAATATCACCATAACAAAATGTTAATCAATTATAATAGTGCCAATTTGAAGTTCTTATCTAACGCTTTATTACAACCTAGGTCGTCTCAATGCAGTTCACTAATTATTATCTGTGGTTATTGGGCCTTTGCTACCAGCCAGCATCTTTCTCAATTCCCTGGGGAGCATACACAGCCAGTGCTGTCCTTTAGGCGCTCACAGCTAGCATCCAACAAGTCTAGCATTGCCCAACGAAGTACTTATTTACAGCTGAGTAGACTGGAACAAGCGGAGTAAAATATCTTGCTCAAGGATACAACACAGTATGATGACAGGATTTGAACCTGTGACCCTTCGGTCACAGGTCTGGTGTCCTGCCAATAGACTACTGTGTACAAATCTAATTCCACTTGTAGGTCATGAGGAACAGAACTAACAAGAAGAAATATTGAAATATGTGACCTTTTGACCTCTAAACTGACATTAGAACAAGAATCTGCAGATTTCTGGTCATGACATGTCTCTTCACACATTCATTGTTCTCACTTTACATTGACATTTACTTATACATCGTCCTAAAAGAGAAACACTTGTTATTACCTTACAAAGACGTTTGTTTACAGCGTCCCCAAAGGGAGACACATGGTTCCTGTCATGTAAGCTGATATCACATCCTCTGTTCACAAGTAAAATTGCAATGTCGTCATGACCTAAAGATTAAAAAAAATATACTGTATAATAAAAACAAGCAATATAATAAAAAAAGGTATTCAATTAAGGCTATACCACATATTTATTCATCTGACAGCTCAAATTGCATGAGTGTATTCTGCATATTGCTGTATTTCATAATCAATTATGGCTTTCGAACAATAATTCTAATATGTATACAGTATAATACATTGTTTATCGTGTTGATAACATACTTCACCATTAACAAGAATTTTTTTTAATGTTTTTTAAAAGTCATTAACTATGCCGAACTAACAAGAATAACGTTTCTGGGCTTATTCTAATGGTATTAACTCATTCACCCCTGAAGACACATTTGAACCCTTCCAAATCAAAGGTTTGAATAGTTCATTATGAAATTTCAGGGGTGAATGAGTTAAACTATCTAACTGAATCCAAAACAATCTGTTGAAAAGAAACTTTTATCACAGGGTTTCAACTTTTATTCAAAATCTACAAAAATAGTTGATGACCAAAGGACAAATATCCCACACATTGCAGACAAAATAACATTTTAACCTATTGGGTACTAATTATACCATACATGTATATTTGAGAAAAAATCTTGACGGTCAAATTATATTTTCCAACTAATAATAAAGGATTTTACAAGATACTGTTCTCTCTGTATTTATGAGTGGGATCTATCAAAATTCTATTTTCTTGTGACATATTTTAAGGCCAAACAAAATGATGTTTGGTGTTTCCGGTAACACTACCCACCTACCCTAAGTCTTTGCGCCTTCACTAAACTTTTTAGGCAATTTTCAAAGAAGTCTGTTCAAGTCAAGATCACTCTCCTAATCCGTCTTTGCGTAATGCAGAGTTATCTTCTCTTGGGAGCAGGTGTTGATTGTTACGTCATTGGTTTGTGTGAGAAAATTACGTCGTTTTCTCAAAAATTGATGACGCTACTCTCACAAACAAGTGACCTAACAATCAATACCTGCTCCCAAGAGAAGATAACTCTGCAATATGCAAAGACGGAATATAAACCATATAAAATTATTAGTTTTAAAATAAAAAAATTCCAAGTATGTTACAGGAAACACATATTTTTTTGTCGGGCCTAAACAGGAACTTGGGCCTTACATAAGTTGATGGCCAGCTGTAGGGGAGTCCATCCATAAAACATATGATTGATGTTGGCCCCAGCCCCCACCAGTCGGTCCACGCCTGCACTGTCTCCCTCCCTCACAGCCAGATGGAGCTGCTGGTTCCAAACCGACATGTCAACTCCTGTATTGAAATTTAGTTTATTTCAGTGAAATATTCTACTCTTCTTATTAGCATATCATCATTAGACTGAATATGAAATTACTTGATATTTCTTATTCAGAATACAGATATACTTGGTTCAATGTTACTTATTTACAAAGAGCTACATGTACAGTATGGATAGAACTAGACTGGGTTGTTAGCCAGTGACCAAATAGCTCAATTGGTAAAACATCCGTCTAAAGTTTGGAGTGTTCCAGGTTTGAATTCCAGTCTAGCCTTGCATTTTTTCCTTTCCTGTTAAATTTGGCAACTAACATATGAGGCAAAGACTTAAAAAAAGGAGGAGGAATGTAGGGGAACTGGACTGCATGGGTCTCTTGTCAGCGATCAAATAGGTCAATATTGGTAGAGCATCCGTCTGGAGTTTTGAGGGTCCCAGGTTTAAATGCTAATCTGGCTGTGCATTAATCTCTCTCCTGTTACACATACATAGACCTTTATCTCAGTAACCCTTTTAACTTTACAGACATTAAAAACATTTATGATTTAGAAATCTCGTCACTGACAAAATAATTATATATGTAACAAATATGTACCTTTATTATAATTTACAATCATGTGGATGGAAGTTTCACACTGGCAAGTGATATAATTCTTTTTTTATAGAACTTTATGCTTTACAGTAATGCCTGTTCACTGCCATATACAAATGTTCAGGGATTTTATTTCTCTGACTGGAGAGGATGCGTTGGAATCCAGTGCATAGTGTTATTCTCAGGTCAGAGAATGTCCCCAACCTATCAAATGCTGCCTTAAGTTAAAATAGAGGCAGATTTGTTTTCTTTTCCAAGGAAATCACCACATGCTGAAATGTCCTTGTATGTAGCTTTTGGTATGATATTGCTACAAATGCAAAGATATGGATCTTTAATGAATCACTCTCTTTCATGTGGTTTGCTGATGTGCTACATGTTAACTTTTAAGTCATCTAAAAAAAAAAAGGTCCAAAACTATTGGGGACTATGCTCAAGCACAATTTCTTGCTTCGGTGAAAAAAATATATAAAAATAAAAATTCACAATTTCTGAATGATTTGGAAGATTTGTGGAGAGACTAAAAGCCAAATGCCATTCTCAGTATTCATAATTGAACTTTTGGCGGTGTCACATTAATTAAGTGAGTTGCAAGAACCCTGGTTTGAACACAGTTCTAATGTATGCCTCAGCATCTGAACGGTTTCATAAATAGGGTCATGGGAAAAAAATACAAGCCTCTGAATATTTTCGATCAGTGTCACAGTTTGCTTCTAATGAATTCGTATTGTACCTGTTATTGTACCTGTTATTTATAATAGGTTAGTGTTATGGTTTCCTCAATCATCTGTCTATCGACTATTACCTTGCGCTTGTTATTATGTTAAAACGAGCACTTGTGAGTTTCCCATGCAGTTCACTCTGACACCGGAAGTATAATTTAGCGTCCTCTGTAACCATAGCCCCTGTAATTCATACCCTAATTCAAAAGTTCCATCCGGTGAAAAATATAATCTGCAGATTATATTATATATATAATTACAATTTCTAAAAGTAGTATTTTTGGGTATCTTTATTTGAAAATCCATACGTGTTGCGGAGTCCAATAAAATATCTTACGCTCAACAATATAGATATTAGGTCATTTAAAATTTTGGGCCAACGGAAATTACAAAAAAAGTTCTAGCTGTGTTATTGCTCATATTTCTCGCTTAAAATACCACATATTGCACGACATTATATACCTTGATTTCATTTTCCATTTCGATATACCATTTGATTTTAATATCGATTATTTTTGCTTGGCGGTTTTTTCCAAGAAAGCGAAAGTGAAAGTAGGAGAGCGGGGATGGGCAATATGGCTGGAAAGAATGACACAGTCGTAGTTAAAGACAATGACATTAGGCGGCCAACTCGTGATAGTTTTGATTCCGTGTCCATGGATACTACAGAGCAGCAAGTAAGCACACATGTTTATAATAAGTGACCCTAAAGGTATGTTTGGCAAATATAATAATATATTTTAGGATAAATCGATCCGGTATTTTCTATTTGCATACTGTGTATACACGTAGTGCAATCAAATATATAGACACATGTTACAGGATTTCATATGTAAGTATATAAGCAGTTCTAGTATATATATATATAATTGAACGGTCGTACCTATAAACAATTAAATACTAAGGGTGAGTTAATAAATGTCGGATAATGGATTGTTTACTGAATATGGTGGGTGTTACTCTGAACTAAGTTCCAAGAAAACAAAGCGAAAGTAGCATGTTGTTCTATATACTAACGTGGACGGTAATCAGGGTCACAATTTCCTTTTTTTTTTTTTTTTTTTTTTTTGTATTCCGACATTTCCAGACCGAGTCATATTTTAATAATGTATGACTGTTTATGTTATATCAAATGGACACAATTCAACATTTACTGAATATAGAAACGAGCTTTTCAAATATATGTCTGGTGACGCCGTCGCCGTTTCTATAAACCAATACATATTATCGTTAGTTTTTAAAATTGTAAATCATTCTTCATCTATCTAGAACAAAACGAGGGATCAATTAAAATGATTGAGCTTTTCAATAAAGACCGTGCATGTTTTAGTGTTAAGCAATTCAGTTCAGATTTTCCCCCATAAAATGTCTTATAGTTTACTACACTCTCTTAACTTCTTATCCTGTATCCGCGGTGGCCAAGTAGTTAAGACGTCTGACATTCTGCTATCACTAGCCCTCCACCACTGGGGCGCGGGTTCGAGGTCTACGTGGGGCAGTGGCCAGGTATACATACTGGCCGTAGGTCGGTAGTTTTTCTCCGGGAATTTCGGCTTTCCTACACAACCAAAACCTGACACGTCCTTTAAATGTCCATAGCTGTTAATAGGACGTAAAACACAAGTAAACAAATAAACCCTTATCCTGTCATTCGCAATTGACGGAGAGACGAAATGGTACAAATCAGCTAACATAAAACAGAGCGATGGTACGACGAAGAAAATAACTCCCTTACTGAAATTTAAGATGAGCGTTCAAGGTATTATAGAACTTTTTTAAGGACTTTTTTTACAAAGGGATTGAACGGCGTTTTTAAATTTTCATGCCGGTGTGAATGCAAATCGTTTACATCCATATTGTATGAAGCGCACTAGGAAACGTTGTATTCATGGTCTAATGACTGTTGTTTTCAGTTGGTAGATTTATGTACAGAACAAACATCAAGAATGCCAATATACGGCTCAAATGAAATGCATTACTGCTGGGAATGTTCATATAGTGGGTTGCAGCGCAAATGTAAATATAATATGAAGACCAGGCGCGTAGCTGCCTATATGCGAGTACGCAGCTGAATCCACATTATTTTGACAACAAATTTTTTTTTTAGCAAAAAAAATGTGGTTTGAAATTCAGCCGCGTTCGCCAGATCTGATAATTACCACACTGAATACTTTATAAATCATATAGCCTAAATCGCACACCATACCGTAGTATTTTTTTGAAAAGTTGTCGGCCTTTGCAGCTCTTCAAAGTCGGAAGTTTGCACGCGCCGTATTTTCGAAATGTAAACAAATGTTTACATCGAGTTCTTAAAAAAGTCATCAGCAGAATCAGCGATAGAAAAGAGGTAATTATAACTAAAATGTTACTATGTATGCCTAGTGTTTATTTGTTTCGGTCTGTTTGTTGAGTAATGACATGTTTGACCATGTCTGTGAACCGATTCTAGCGAGACTGACAACATTTTGAACTAACCAACCTTAATCAGTGAATTCATGATGCAAATGTGAAAAATTCTGGTGCATTTGTCGTATTAGTTACTCTGCATTTTTGAAATAGTTCCTTCTTGGTAGATTAGTTATATTGATACATGGAATTTTTATGAAAAAAACATTTCTGGTAAACACAACGCTCGTCATTTTTTTCATCTACGGAAGCGCATAAAGGTCAAAAGTATTCCGATTTCATACATGTACGGAGCCACAATTTATTCTTCCAGGTTCTAATTACGCAAGAAATATGGCACAGAAGAGAATTGACAGCTTCTTCAGCGTAGGTCCAAAAACTGGGCTGTCTGAAAAAGGCACCGATGCAACCGAGCCTAGTACATGTATGTTTACTTTAACATGCTTTTAACATAAAAAGCTACAAACAATAGTCAGTACATGTTAAGTTATACATGTATAGTTAATGATGACAACAATTGTAACTTTTAATTTTGTTTAAACTTTTCAAGATTCAAGGACAGTATGATTTCAAACTTTTACATTACATTCATTGCAATCCATGCTTTAAATATTCGAAATCAAATTGATTCTATAGTCAATTTTATGCACCAAAAATTCTAACACTTGTCCAAGTATCGTCATATGTATTCCATATGTATATTTATAGCGCCCGGTACGTCTGGTGTGAAGGAGGGTCCTGAACCTATGACTTTAGATAAAGATGAGCTCGTGGGGATTGCGTACAGTCCCGATGACTTGTATCCTGATCCAGCAAGGTTAACAAAGGCTTCAGATGACTCGATAAAAGTGAAAGTGCTGCAAAACAACAAAGAATGGGCCAAAACTTTTAAGTTTCCGTCAAGGTAAACTGATTCTGATTCATTTGATTTAAAGATGTGAAGTTATAACGGTTGCAGATCAATAGAAAATTGTAGTTTAGTCAACCAGTATTGTATAGAAAAATACCGTTAAAATCTCTAAACACAGTCCCGAGGTCTCAAAATCGATGGTTTATGTTGAGGTCTTTTTGTGAGTGGTACATGTGGGAAAATAGACGCAAGCCCGTCTCTTACCACTCGATTGTAAACCCATATTAATATACTGCTTCTTCCACTTGTTCGATGTTTGGTTCCATTATAATTATATTAGCGCGCTAATGACATGTTTACTATATAATTAAGACGAATAAAGTATAGTGAATATACTCATATATCTGATAACGTTATTGAAGTACCAGTATCATAAGTATACTAGTAAGATACTAGATATATACTATTAAAATGGAATCATTTGCTTCCCTGCTTTCCGGATTTCTACGTATTTGGTTGCAAAATTGTTCCATTTCAAGTTCGTACACTATTTCTTTATTTTATTATTTCAGTATTGAGTATGGAACGAAGCGTCAGTTCTCGGTAGATTGGCTAGAGAAGTATGACTGGCTTCGATATTCAGTTTCCGAGAATTCAGTGTATTGTGCTCCCTGTATTTTGTTTGGTGCTTCATCTCCAAAGGAGAAAACATTCATCAATACCCCAGTATCAAAATGGTCTAACCTTGGAAAGTACATCAAGAGACATACCGAGCCTGGTTCGAGTCATCATAGCTGCTGCGCTAGTGCTAGTAGTTTTATGAAAATCATCGAAGGGAAACAAGCAAGCATTACAGCACAACTGTCGAGAAACAAAGTCGAAACTGTTGCTAAAAATAGACAGGTGCTTAGATCTGTTATAGAGGTCATCATTCTGTGCGGTCGACAAAATATTCCACTTAGAGGTCATGATGACAACAATAGTAACTTTACTGTCCTGTTGAAAGACAAGGCCAACAGGGATGAAATCCTGAAAACACACCTGTCCTCTAAATCTAAGGTTACTTACACTTCGCCTATGATCCAAAATGAATTAATCACTTTGTTGGGAAATAACATAAAAGGCAAGATAGTTCAGCAGTGCAACGATGCTATTTGTTATTCATTTCTTGCAGATGAAGCTACTGACGCGAGCACTATGGAACAAATTGCTATGTGTGTAAGATATTATTCTGAAACTGAACAGGACGTGCGTGAAGACTTTGTGGGATTTGTGCAAGCAGAATCTACAACAGGAGAGGCTCTTTTTAACAAGTTTATTGAGGGGCAGCGGGACGCAGGATTAGACATCTCCAAGATGAGGGGACAAGGGTATGATGGGGCCAGTAATATGTCTGGTTGTCATCGAGGTGTGCAAGCTCGGGTCCAGCAAGTAGTTCCCCAAGCAATGTATGTGCACTGCAAAGCCCATAGCCTTAATTTGTCAATTGTGCATGCCTGTAAAGAGGCACTCGTCAGAAACTTGTTGGACACAGTACAACAAATCGGATTTGCTTTCAAGTACTCTGCCAAACGTCTTTTAGCTTTCAAAGAGGAGCTTGGCAACGATCCCGTGGCACAGGAAGAGATGCAGAAGAGAACACGTCTTCAAAGTCTGTGTGAGACGCGATGGGCTAGTCGGGCTGACGCACTTTACACTTTCAAAGCTGCATACACATCAATTGTAAGTGCACTGGAGGTGCTAGAACGAGAGGGAGACTCAAAAGCACGGAGCTACAGATGCAGTATCCTTGGGTTCGACTTCATCATCTCTCTAGTTGTGGTTGAATTCGTCCTCCAGGGTGTTATGCCTCTAAACAAGCTGCTACAGAAGCAGAATATCGACTTGATCGAAGCAGCCAAGGAGAGTCGAGTTCTTATAGCCACATTTCGTGCAGAGAGAGCCGATGATGCTGTGTGGGATGGGCTTTACGACAAAGCAGTTGCCATGGCAGAAGACCAAGGAGTCGAGCCTTCAAAGCCTAGAACAGCTCGACGCCAACAGCACCGTGGCAACGTGCCTGCCGACTCTGTTTCGGAATACTGGAAAAGAGCATTGTTCTATCCATTTCTTGATCATCTAGTTGTGGAACTAGAAGACCGTCTTGTATCCAGCAATGAGAGGTTTAAGGCTCAATATCTCATCCCAAGCCTTCTTCCTGAGCTCAGCCGAGATCACGAGGATTCCATCTTCCAGGAGTATGAGAGTGACCTCAGTGGGGATCGGGAAGCCTTCCGAAATGAGGTTTCTCGATGGAAAGTAAGATGGGAGCTGGAGGGGACAAAACCCTCAAATCTTACTGACACATTGAAGGCTACGAACAAGACTCTGTATCCAGACATCTTCACCTGTCTAGTTGTACTAATTACGATGCCAGTGTCTACCGCTACCGCCGAGAGGCAGTTTAGTATCATGAGACGCCTGAAAAACTACATGAGATCAACGATGCTCACAGAACGGATGTCTGGACTAGCCCTGTTGCACGCCTACAGACACATGGAAATAGATATTGATATTATCATTAACGAGTTTGCGGCCAGCAAAGGCCGCAAGTTAGACTTGCTGTGAAATGTAAACTAGTTGAAATAAACGAAAGTAAAGCTATTCATCTCCATTTTTATGCTAAAATAAATGGATTTTCGTTGGTCAAGAAAGCTCTCCGGAGGCCCCAAAACGCACCAAATTGCACCATTTATTTCAAAATTTTCAGGGGGGGGGGCATGCCCCCTGACCCCCCTAGATTATTTTGAATCCACATTCTTTATAGGCTAGCTACGCGCCTGGAAGAGTGAAGAATAGATGTTTTATTCATAGCATTCATTCTCTTTACATTGTCTGTATTATTTATTATACTTGCCTTGTGACTACTGGCGCCTAGTATCGCATACACAGGAATTCGAACGGGTCTACATAATTTTCACAAGTTTTTTTCATATATTAGTGTCTTACTAAGATTGGGCATCAAAAGTCTATTGTAATTAATTTGATTTGTCACACTAACAGAAAAGTTCCGTATATTGTTGATTCGAATGCCTAGCTGTTTGCCGATGGCACCTAACTATATACAGACAGGAGGGAACATGGAAATATTCAGAAGTACCTAGAAAATCTACAACAATGGGCGGACAAATGGTTACCTAAATTGTACGCGGATAAATACAAAACGCTGTGTTTGGGAAAGAAGAAAAATGCAAATTATCAGCACCTATGCAAAGATAATGACGGTCGGAAAACAACAATCTAAATGAGGAAATGGAAGAGAACTGTCGACAACAAATTGAGTAATACATCATTCTGCCTACTGTATTAAGCTTTAGTTCGACCCCACCTAGAGTAAGAAACGTGTGTTTGGAAACATTGATTCAAAAACAAGATAAAGGGACTCGATGACATCCACCCAACCTGGACTAAATACTCTTTTGATTAACGGATTGATGATATCTGGAGTCCCCTACCTGAGAACGAGATTCAAGCGCCAAAACTGAACAACATTTGACGACCGCCATGATAAAGTTTGGGGAAGTAATGAAAGGAGATTCACAACAACATCGGAGTGACGTCACGTTTTACCAGTTTAGCGCGGATGTATACGGAAACATTTAGATAATATGTAATGTATGAAACCATCACTCGACAAAGCTACTTCGTCCAGAACAACTTACATACGACTCACTTCTTCACATAATGCATTTTGTAAGCGCATTGCACGCGCATGCTTTATTGGACAATGATAAATTCGCACGCGCGTATAAATATTGCATGGTTATTATCCAGGGAAAAGTGTTACATCACAGACGTGGTAAACTCATAGTTATAGTGTCCTTTGGTTCTGGAACATGAAGTAGCTCCCATGGTACACAGCTACAGATATAGCAGCGAATGTATTGCAGAGTACTCTTGAAATAAAAATGTTCCATTAAAAATGTTGTTTTAGCAGAAGCGTCAAAGGAGAGAACGTTGCTCCAAGAGCATTTTTGCACTGAAAGACAGAGTGGAACGCACTGAAAGACAGAGTGGAACTATATACTGAAGCTGTGAACCTAGCAGAACACCAGAAACACAGGGAGTTCGAAACCATGAGCTTTTTCTATTTAAACATATTTTTATTGCCGATTATCAGCATTGGAATTGGGCACAAGTTGAACAACTTATACAAAGCCATCTCCTTATTCTGCCATGAACTGTCTGGGCTTTCCGAGGAACCACCACACGAACAATCATCCAGAAAACGCCATACAAGACAACTGAAATGTCTCCGTTCAACCTGGAGTGGTCATGGATCCCATTACCAACGAGTTCTTGGAACGATCGACACTCAGTGACGATTGTTTGTAAGCGTATGATATTGTGCCCAGTATGATGAATTGACTGTAAGAAAAGCAAGGGATACAGTATAAGGGCCTACAGATGAAATAAATATCTGACTGGGGCTGAAGCGATGGAAGGCTAGGTGGTCAACGGAGGAAATATACCAGGTACCCACAGACCTTCAGACTACTCTTACCAGCGCTATTGTTATCGCAGTACTTTACCCTTGCATCATTGTAGGTCTAGTTATTCTATTAAATATTTATGTGTGACGGTGACAGCGGAGAGTGTGAGGAGAGGGTTACAAAACTGCCAGCCATTTCATGACTTCCAAACCGCATTCAGAAAGGCACTTCCGGGATTTTAAATTTTCTTATCTGCACAACGGAAAATGGATCTGTTCTAATTCAAAACCAATGTCAGTCTTGCATTATTAAGTTTAGGAAATATCCATTGGGAGTTTGAGAGTCGGTTTGATGGTTACACGAACTGTTTTGTCACGTTGATAATAAAAATATAAGAAATATTTCATTGTTTGTCTTTTTATTTTATACGCAGGTATCTGCTGACCAAAGTTTGAATGTGTAGGCCAGGAAAATATATTTCTTTCACACTTCTGGGTGCTGCCCAAGGCGGTATATCTACATACAACTAATCCTTTATCCGCCCCTGACTGATTAGCCCAATGCCTACTACATCTATGTCAACCTACACAGCGTTTGTATCGTGTTAAGATAAACATGTACTAATACAAACTTTTTTTGATAGCCAGAGGAAAACCACTTCGGTGAAAATGCAGCTGGATGTGGCAAGTCCAAGAAGAAGAAAGACAACAGGAAAAACCGACAACGGCAGAATTTAAAACACCTACAGGTGAGATACATCAGGAAAGTATACAGAAAAATCATTTATATTCTGTATGTTGGGTCATCTTGTTTAGCGGTTACCCAAGCTATAATTAATTTGTATCTTTTCCATGTCACAAAACCCCGCTCTCGATATCTTTTAGAAAAGACCCCTAACACGTCACATATCCACAGGATTTAGTGGTTTATAGCTACATGAGGAACGTAACTGATCGTAAGGGTTATGCTCAGAGATCATACAAATAAATCAAAGTCTTCCTATAATTAGCATTAAATACAAAACACATGTAAATATGTCAAAATCTTGTTTGACTGATACTAAGTCTTTTAAAATGCTTGATTTGAAATGGACATCGTTGATTGCAAGAGGACACCGAAGAAAGTGTGATGAGAAGGTAACACCCCAGAGCAACATCTATTTAGTGTCTCCTTATTAATATTTATACCATAACGCTACAGTTGTTTTACAGCAACCATGCAACGATGATTGAAATCAGATGTATATTGTTTGACAAACCTAGTTCGATAAGCATGCTATGACACCCGGTCTACAGAACAGGTACACCTGTTCTTTTTGAACACGGCTTGTTGACGCCGTGACGATTTTGATTGTAACACGTCAGGACTAACAAGTCGGGTATTGATGTTATGTCATCGCTACACGTGCATTACCTACACGTGTATCTTGCTGTCGAAGATCATAATGGCTAAAATGCTGACCATTGTCCGATTTATTCACGTGTTTCATACAATGCAATTTATGTCATCAGTCCATAAAACAAAAACAAAAACAAAACAAAAACCAGTACACAATGAACTAGGGTTCTTACAGGTAGGAGATCCGCTACTGTGCTTCAGTTTACTTCTAGATCGTTTTCAGTGCACAACAGGTCGTCTTTTATAGAGGGGTGACAATGGAATTACGGGTCGATTTTTTCCATATCTACTCATCAAACAGACAATGCGGCATGATCCGATGTCGAGACGAGAGTTATTGGTATTCATGGTACATTTTAAGCTACACATTTGTTATCATGAGATAGGGATGGAAATGGACACTGCACATTAGCGATCATTGTGACATCAGGTCTATCTCTGAACTAAGACATTAGATAGTAGGACATCATTTACCAATGAGGAGCAAACTTTTGGAAACAATAATATACATTTTGTCAAGAAAACAAAGCATGTGTTGCTACATTTGGACAAATATCTAATTTTCACCCTTTTTAACATTAAGCCAATCATTTGAGCCATATATCATATGTTATATGATGTAAGACTGATGCGCACCAATGCTTTCATTATCACACCAAATATAGCCATGTAACACTGTATCCAGTAAATATTTTGTAATAATTTCCCCCTGAAATCCAAAAGGCCTACAAGGCCCACATTGCTCGCCTGTTTCTTTTGTTATCTGAACTAGGTCAGACGTTGAAATGTTAATTTCTGCTTACGGAAGGTCATGTCGATCATTTAGGATTTTTTATTGGCCCGAAGAATTAAAATAACAACACAAGATGATCACAACGGCAGAAACATGGGTTCTGATGTTTTCACAATAAGTTACAAATATCTCAGCCGATTAGAGGACTATATTGTTATTTTGGAATTAAATCCTACAAAAATATCAGCAACTATCATCACCTGCTCAAGACATTGGGATTATTGTTCTTACCACGTTTGGCTACAACTGGCCTGGTGAATTTGAGGGGTTAAAAGGTATGAACAAATCAGAAAACTGATGCCAATTCTTTATTGTGCTTTTTAAAAAATGACATTCTCCTCAGACGTGGTAAGATGAAAATATGTATGAGAATGACTTTTACCATTGAAAACCTATATCTCTTTAATTTTTGTTTTTTCTTCTTGAGAATTGTATTTAATACACGTTTTAATTGATGGATGTTGCCTTTGTTGATCATTTCACTTTCTGGTATTGATCTTCATATCAACATGTCTTATTAAGCACTCTGAGGGTCAATACTAAACATTCTTTATTTCAGGAGGAAAACCAGAATTTCCAGGATGAGAATGCATCACTAAATCAGGAGTTGTCCAATGTACGTCGAGAACTGACGGACTGTCGCAAACAACATGGCCAGGAGCTTATCGAAGTGCACAGGCAACTGACAGACTGTCGCCAACAGTGTGAACAGTTGAAAGACAAGAATGAAGCCATGTTACAGCGGTATGTTAACTCATTCACCTCTGAAATTTCATAATGAACTATTCCAACCTTTGCATTGGAGGAGTTAAAATGTGTCTTCAGGGGTGAATGAGTTAAACATCACGATAAAGATCTCTTTCAAATTCTACTTTTAACGAGATGTGTGTTTTATTTTGGCTTCAATCATGTGGAGTTGAATGCAATATCTCACGACTTTTTACTTAACTTACAATATGAATACATCCTCGATATCCAGGGGTTACGCCCACTTTCGCTCTTTAATCGAAGGCTCAGTGTGCACCGCCTTGTGGACGAGACCTTAAGACTAGTTTGATCCTTTGATGTACATCAAAAGAATCTCGCGGTCGCGTAACAGTAAAACTTATTGTCTTTGAAGTCGGATGTCGCTCCTTTGTAACCGTCAAAGGACAAGTATCAGCCTAGTAATAGGTCAGGGTTTTTTACCCGACACCAATCATATTGCTAGCCGCGTGCCTTCAATTTTGCTATGACATATCCCAGGGCACCCTCGATATCCAGGGGTTACGCTCACTTTCGCTCTCTGCACCCCTCGAATATGTCATGGCAAAATTGAAGGCACGAAAATAGCTATTTGATTGGTCTCAGGAAGAAAATACTGACCAATCGCTAGGCTGATACCTGTCCTTTGAAGATTACAAAGGAGAGACGCCCGACTTCAAAGCCTTTCAGTTTTTACTGTTACGTGACCGCGAAATTCTTTTGATGTACATCAAAGGATCGAACTAGTCTTCTTGTCTCATAAACAAGGTGGCACACACTGATCCTTTGATTTTGCTATGAGGTATTCCAGGGGTACAAAGTGCGAAAGTGAGCGTAACCCCTTGAAATCGAGGATAATATGAATACAACTTCAAGTAAAAGAAACTGATATTAACCAGTATCCGTGGTTCATTCACCTTTTGTTTATATACTCAATGGATATATTCAATCTGTCTTTCGGCCATCATATTGATTGATATATATACACTCTCTGTTGACTTTAATGAAGTTGTCTCGCAGGTTGCTACAAAAGCAGCAAATTGAATAGGGAGAATTTGTCGTATATTACCTTGCTTACAATAGATGTCCTGCAGGGTTGTTCGCAAATCGATTAATAATGACAATGAATAAGTACTCCTGTTTTTGACTTGCATCAGTATATTTCTAGTTTTGTTTGTTCGTAGTTTAATGTAATTAATTTGTCTACTTTACAGATATAGTGAAGTTGTATCAAATCAAATGAAGAACAATCCTTCAATCCAAGATATTAATTACCAGGACAAACCCAGGCAAATTGCAGAGGCTTTCCGTGGGGAGTTGTATAGCAGGAAATGGTGTGATGCGTTTGATGTAGTGGACATTGGCGTCACTTCAGAAAGGGACCAGTTAGAGATCCTTAGGGACCTGTGTAGGGTACGCTATATAAATGTGATTGTTCCGCCTGATGAAACGATACAATACGACTATACATGAAGTCAAAGTGCGATATTTACAACAAGCATTTGTTGATCAAATTGGTGAATATAACTTCGATATTATTTCAGAAAGCTGGTAAATCTCCCATACAATTATTTGGCCGGTGTCATGCTTTTTAGCCATTTAGTATCACTTTCATTAATGCATGTAACACTTATTTTGTTAAGTAGAACCAGACAAACGCACAAAAGTAAACCTCGCGGGAAGGTCAATATGTACTACTACTCCAGTTTCTGTTCTAAGCATTAGCTTTATTAATGAGGACTCGTTAATTGCCTATGAAAAAACTGACGTCGTGGGGTAAAAGCAATCAATAAGTTTAAGCATTATCAATCATAAGTTATTCCTGGACGGCAAGGGATGTGTCGCGAACTACAATTTAGTCTGTTCGTCTAAGGTCGAGGTCACATTGAGATCAAATGTTAAATATATTGTTCACGCCATAACTTCTGACTCACTTTAAGAAAGTTTTAGGGAAATGTGTAGGAAAGGAAGACGCTGTGTCATATAACACTTTTGGATCTGTATGCCCAAGGTCAAGGTCACGTTAAAGTAACACTTTAGTCTAGTCTTGTTGACCTTTTCGTGGAGCATGATCCACAAGTTGTACTGATTTTCTTGGGTCCGACAGGTACTTTATTGATACACAATAGTCTGTTGACAAGTGAGCTGTATAGATTAAGCATATCAGACAAGTACTTGTTCGGTCCACAAAACACAAAAAGGCTGAATGTTTGCATTTTAATGAAAACGATTTAATTTTGGTTTTATATACAACCGCGTTCAGGTTTTTTATTTTAACACTGATGACGAAAAGTAATTTGAATCTTCATTAATGTAACAAAAGTAAGACTGAGTTCGGATCGCAGTCACTATATTTGTTCGTCTTTACTTTTATCATGATCTCGCTATAGCTGGGAATAACGGTTTTGTCAACACTTCATTAGTCTCTTGTGTCTTTTCAGGATTCGTTTCTGATATGTACTTACGTTTTAATTGGCCAAGCTGAAAATCTAAAACATGCGCTGGATCCGACTGCTATGGAAGGCGATAGTTCTAATTATTCCAACTGCTCTGTTTGTCCTCTCGCCAGTGTCCTTAACAAACTTCCAGAAGTTATCAGGGATGAGTTTATACAAAACTCTCGTCAATCCAAAGTTTTGGAGAAGATATTGCAAGTAATTGTCATATATTTGTCAAGTTACTCCAATTACATAAAAAAAAACATATGTATATGGTGTTAATGTTGTTTTGGTTGACCAGGTATCATCAGATTGTTTGTGTGAAGTTCTTTGTCGAATATCTACCCCACTTACAGATATCCATATTACATGTCGCGTATCTACCCCCACTTACAGATATCCATATTCCATGTCGAGTATCTACCCCCTCTTACAGATATCATTATTCCATGTCGAGTATCTACCCCCACTTACAGATATCCATATTCCATGTCGAGTATCTACCCCCACTAACAGGGATCGATTTTCCATGTCGACTATCTACCCCCATGTCGAGTATCTACCCCCTCTTCCAGATATCATTATTCCATGTCGAGGATCTACCCCCACTTACAGATATCTATATTCGATGTCGAGGATCTACCCCCACTTACAGATATCTATATTCGATGTCGAGTATCTACCCCCACCAACAGATAATAATATTCCATGTCGAGTATCTACCCCCACTAACAGATATCCATTTTCCATGTCGAGTATCTACCCCCATGTCGAGTATCTACCCCCACTAACAGATATCCATATTCGATGTCGGATATCTACCCCCACTTACAGATATCCATATTCCATGTCGAGTATCTACCCCCATGTCGAGTATCTACCCCCACTACCACATAATAATATTCCATGTCGAGTATCTGCCCCACTTACAGATATCCATATTCCATGTAGAGTATCTACCCCACAAACAGATATCTATATTCCATGTCGAATATCTACCCCCACTTACAGATATCCACATTCCATGTCGAGTATCTACCCCCATGTCGACTATCTACCCCCACTAACAGATATCCTTTTTCCATGTCGAGTATCTACCCCCATGTCGACTATCTACCCCCACTAACAGATATCCATATTCGATGTCGAATATCTACCCCACTTACAGATATCATTATGCCATATCGAGTATTTACCACCACTTACAGATATCCATATTCCATGTCGAGTATCTACCCCACAAACAGATATCCATATTCCATGTCGAATATCTACCCCCACTTACAGATATCATTATTCCATATCGAGTATTTACCACCACTTACAGATATCCATACTCCATGTCGAGTATCTACCCCACTTACAGATATCCATGTTCCATGTCGAGTATCTACCTCCACGAACAGATAATAATATTCCATGTCGAGTATCTACCCCCACTAACAGATAACAATATTCGATGTCGAATATCTACCCCCACTTACAGATATCATTATTCCATATCGAATATTTACCACCACTAACAGATAACAAGATTCCATGTCGAGTATCTACCCCCACTAACAGATAACAATATTCCATGTCGAGTATCTACCCCAACTTACAGATATCATTATTCCATGACGAGCATCTACCTCCACTTACCGATATCCATATTCCATTTCGAGTATCTACGCCCACTAACAGATAACAAGATTCCATGTCGAGTATTTACCCCCACTAACAGATAATAATATTCCATGTCGAGTATCTACGCCCACTAACAGATAACAAGATTCCATGTCGAGTATTTACCCCCACTAACAGATAATAATATTCCATGTCGAGTATCTACCCCCACTAACAGATAACAATATTCCATGTCGAGTTTATTGACAGTTATGATTACCAATCGGGAACCGTCGGCACTTTCCGTAAACGAGAAAATATCTCGGTAGTAGAAGGCGGAGTAATACAAACAATTTTTTTCCCAAAAGGTATTTCTCGTTTACGGACGGTTCCCGATTGTTATGAGTACATGCGTATCATGCGTGCACCAAGTACAGTCAGCAGAACTATCAAGACACGGACTGTCCAGAATTTACAGACAATATGTTTATTTATTTGTTCATATAGTCAATTTTGATATACAATGTAATTGCATGTAGAATGTTCAGTGCCGCCAATGACTTTGATATGTTTTGTAGGAACAATGCAGTGATGTTTACGCGACCAAGAAGCTTACTACAACGTATGGTGAAGGGATAGTAAGTCAACTGGAACCCTATATCAGTTCATGCATTCAGATATGTTGGGATATGCTACTTCAGAAACCTCCGATGTTTCTTGACTTCAATATGACAAGGGGCTGTAAAATCAACCCTGAAGTATGCGATTTCTATGCCAATCAGGGTTCAGTGGTTGAATTCGTTGTCTGGCCGGTATTGTATCGTCATTTCGGTGGACCCGTTTTGAATAAAGGCATAGTACAAGCGTCTAGTACTAACAAGTCATAGCCAAATTAAAGGAACAGTGTAGACTTCTAAACATTACAGCCAATATAGGGCATAACAAAATGCTGGATATTGATGTTCGTGTGTTCATAAATGTCTCGAGTAAACTTTCCGCTATTTACAATTTTGGTCTAGTGTAAATTATCTTGGATGAAACCTGCTTAATTCTTCCTAAGCCTTCTTTAGAAGAAGATGGTCATTTTGCGTATTGTGGTCCTTTGCATTTATACCATTGAACTGTTCTTTATCGCTTGTACGATATTTATTAAGTCTAATGACACGACGACAGAAATGAGAGTTACGATGATGATTGCGCCCGAAACTCCTATTACCTTACTGGATAAGCGCCCGTCATAGGCACTGGTCTTACGTCGAGTGTACGATGACAAAAGCTTCTTGTCGACCTTGAGGTTATCTAAACTGTAATTACTGAACACATTCGAGGTACACGCACACGTACACGTGGCATTCACATTGCTGAAAGTAGTTGATTCTGGCACCGATTGAGCAGAACTGGCGGAGACGTATTGAAGTGTTGTTATTGACATACTAGCTAATGTTGTGTGCGAGGCAGTAACGACAGACCCGGTGTTAACTAACGACGTCATACTGATAGAGAGGTCCGTTTGACCGAACGAGGAGGGAAAAAAATCAGACGACGTAACTTGACTGGATACTATTGGAGAAACACGTGAAGACGAGGAAAAACTTGTTTGTAGTAACTCTGTTGTGTAAGACGTTTCTTGAGTCTTGGATACTGTCGAAAAGTCAGAGTAGGATGATTCAATTGTGGCATACACTTGGGTTGTGCTTGTCGCCTGTCCTGCAGAAGTCGTCGTGCTCGATACAGGAAGATTGGTGTTCACTGGTGAACAGGGCAACTCGGTTGTGTTCCCTGTTGGTGAAATGACAGTTGAAGCAAATGATACTGAAATAGAAACATTTTTGTGAAAGGTCAAACATATACATTGATACCATTGTGTAAGAACGATACCACAATGAATTCGCAGCATCATACCTATGACTGGTTTTTTATTCATTCGTGGAATGTTTCATTTTGACCTACGTTTCAATTTGCCCCTTTTGCTGGATATGGAAGTTGAAGTCTATACGAGATCGACACTTTTTGAAATATGTCTGAATTCAATTCATGACAAATATATTATAAATTGAGCACACATAAAGCATAAGCGTGAAAAAGTATATACAGTATAGTCATAACAAAACCTACAACATTCATATCAGAGACATGGGAGCTAGTTCGTAATTAATGTAGATAATACATTGTTATCCAGTGAATATACCCATGTCATGACAAGTACATGACGTCACAGATTTACGCACTGGAGTCAAAATGGCGGCTATTTACATTTCAAGGTTGCATTGGAAATGCCACAACTCTTGATTACGTGATAAAAGGGATCATACACTCGTTTTCAATTTATAGGAAACTCGTGTAAGATCTTATATATATTTTATAACATATCATAATAAAGAAAGATGGGGGAAATGTGGCCAAGCGTTAAAATAAAATGAGAGAACCGAACATCAATAACCATTATAATAAATATTGCTTTTTTTAATATCTCATCGATCGGTACTTCACATCAATAATTTGAAAGAGTTTTGCAATTTGACATGCTTGAACAATATCAACTTACCTACGTCACCAAATTTAACGCCAAGAGTGTACCCAGCGACGCCGGTGGAAGCTGTGAGTACTAGCTCGCGCTCTACGAAGTACCAAACAGTGACGCAGATATCGTTGCCATGGAACACGGCTGCCACACAGTATCTTTTGGTGACACACCGGTCCATGCAATCATCCAAGGTTTTGGTCGGCTCGTGGACGACGTGTAAGGACGACATATTGTAGTTGTACAGTGTGTCCTGATGCACGGACATCTCCAGGGGCGTGTCTAAAATAATAGGAATTGGAGCTAGGATATACAGGGGCGGGTCCAGGTGAGGGCGTAATGGGCGTACGCCCCCCCCCCCTTTTCAACAAAAAAAAAAACCCAAAAAACTATCGTGATCTGCTAATATTGTATTGAGTATGGCAATTTATCTTATTCATTAATTAAACACATAAACATCCTGACACTTTAACTATAAAATATACATGCTCCAAGTCAGGAACCGTTACATTAGTGCATTTCACAATTATTTTATGTTTTTTAGCCAAAAAAGGTCCAAAAATGTTTTGCATCGCTCCGCTCGGCGTAAGATTAGATTTTACGCCCCCTCTTTCAAATATCCTACAAACGCCCCTGATATATGTTTGGTGACGAATATGGATACCAATAATACTGATATTTTAGGATAAGATTTATATACATGTGTTCTTTAACGAATGATGGTTGGATATCTTAAAGAAGGTAATGAAAGTGAGGTTAAATGAGATATATAACTGTTAAAGTTGATAAAGCTGTCTTTTCTAAAGCATCTTTGTTTTATCCTTGAGCCTCCACCTGTGGTGTTTGGCCATGTCTGCGCAGTTTTGTTTATTAGTTTTGTAAATATAGCAAACATGACATTCTTTTCGAAAACATTACTGTATTAAATTTTATTACAGCATCTGTAAGGGATGAAATTCGTAATTAGTATGCCATTCTTTTACTTGTATCACACCTTCGCATTTCAAGATATTATGTATTGCGTTAAGTCTTGAAAAAGCATCTAAATACAGCAATGTTCCTTGCTGATATCCCATGTTTGTTGCAATGAAAACATTTTTCGGATTCTTACTTGAGTAGAAATTATTTTGCTTCCTACATGATTACACATACAACAAATATCTGATTCAGAATGTTACAATGAATATAACGTGTCCAAGTACAGATTTGGAAAATAAAACAACACAGAACTGTGTTATAATATCAGTTTTTTCTGTTCTTTTAGAGATTTTTGTTTTTGTTTAAAACATGCTTTAATGATAGTGAGTTTTACGTGTTTTTAAACTCGTCTATATAACATGAAATTACTCGTGAGATGGTGAAAGTTATATAGAAACCTTCATAGTAAGTATGATAATTTTCTAAAGTCACTTTGAAGTCAATTTTGATTGCATTTAACAAGCTTGACTTGACAAATCCACTGTCGGTTGTTTTTACAGAAAGACCTTCTGAAACAGAAGATGTAAACGTTGGTGGTAAATTGTATTTACTTATATACAACAAAAAAATGTATTTCAATATATTTACACCTTTATGATAAAAGTAAACCAAGGTTGAAATGCATACTTGCGTATTCATAACAAACGAAGTATCTAATGTCAGAACATCTGCTCTCGTGAAGTGACACTTTTACGCCCGTGTCAGAAAGATGGGCGTGGCTACACTGCTGTGGGTGTGGCTCAGCTCTGGTGATGTTGTATCCATTCATCAGGAAACACGTATCGGCGACACGCCACTCTGACGCCGCCATCCACGTGTAGTTGAAATGTATAAACGACGTCCATACATCTATGTTAGACGTTCTGTGAGGGAAAACAAAGAAAACATGTGTAACGTCACGTCAGGAATTTTTGTTGAGCCATGACGCGAATCTAGATTTGATGATGGTATGGTACCCTATGAACAAGAAAGATCAATGATCAATACTCCGACAATCGATGCGTTTAAGTCTAGTCTGAATGAAGTTTGGAAGGTGTACCCACGCAAATACAAGGCATGCTACAATGTGGGCAAGGGTGTGTATTTACCTGATCTCGGCAGTCGAGCAACCAGTGGTTCTGGATATTGACATAGGGTGTGTATTTACCTGATCTCCACAGTCCAGCAGCCAGTGGTTCTGGATACGGACATAGGGTGTGTATTTATCTGATCTCGGCAGTCCAGCAGCCAGTGGTTCTGGATACTGACATAGGGTGTGTATTTACCTGATCTCGGCAGTCCAGAAACCAGTGGTTCTGGATGCTGACATAGGGTGTGTATTTACCTGATCTCGGCAGTCCAGCAACCAGTGGTTCTGGATACGGACATACGGTGTGTATTTATCTGATCTCGGCAGTCCAGCAGCCAGTGGTTCTGGGTACTGACATAGGGTGTGTATTTACCTGATATCGGCAGTCCAGCAACCAGTGGTTCTGGTTACTGACATAGGGTGTGTATTTACCTGATCTCGGCAGTCCAGCAGCCAGTGGTTCTGGATAATGACATAGGGTGTGTATTTACCTGAACTCGGCAGTCCAGCAGCCAGTGGTTCTGGATACGGACATAGGGTGTGTATTTACCTGATCTCCGCAGTCCAGCAACCAGTGATTCTGGATACGGACATAGGGTGTGTATTTACCTGATCTCGGCAGTCCAGCAGCCAGTGGTTCTGGATACTGACATAGGGTGTGTATTTACCTGATCTCCACAGTCCAGCAGCCAGTGGTTCTGGGTACTGACATAGAGTGTGTATTTACCTGATCTCCGCAGTCCAACAGCCAGTGGTTCTGGATACTGACATAGGTTGTGTATTTACCTGATCTCGGCAGTCCAGCAACCAGTGGTTCTGGATACGGACATAGGGTGTGTATTTACCTGATCTCCGCAGTCCAGCAACCAGTGATTCTGGATACTGACATAGGGTGTGTATTTACCTGATCTCGGCAGTCCAGCAGCCAGTGGTTCTGGATACTGACATAGGGTGTGTATTTACCTGATCTCGGCAGTCCAGCAGCCAGTGGTTCTGGATACTGACATAGGGTGTGTATTTACCTGATCTCGGCAGTCCAGCAGCCAGTGGTTCTGGATACTGACATAGGGTGTGTATTTACCTGATCTCGGCAGTCCAGCAGCCAGTGGTTCTGGATACTGACATAGGGTGTGTATTTACCTGATCTCGGCAGTCCAGCAGCCAGTGGTTCTGGATACTGACATAGGGTGTGTATTTACCTGATCTCGGCAGTCCAGCAGCCAGTGGTTCTGGATACTGACATAGGGTGTGTATTTACCTGATCTCGGCAGTCCAGCAGCCAGTGGTTCTGGATACTGACATAGGGTGTGTATTTACCTGATCTCCACAGTCCAGCAGCCAGTGGTTCTGGGTACTGACATAGAGTGTGTATTTACCTGATCTCCACAGTCCAGCAGCCAGTGGTTCTGGATACTGGCATAGGGTGTGTATTTACCTGATCTCCGCAGTCCAACAGCCAGTGGTTCTGGATACTGACATAGGGTGTGTATTTACCTGATCTCGGCAGTCCAGCAACCAGTGGTTCTGGATATGGACAT